GGATTTCTGTCAGCCCATTTTTTGCATACAATTATATACCATTTCAAGAATAGAATCAGTATATCGCTCTGTAAGTAACCCTTTCATCCCTGAATTTCTCATAATCACCAGTGCTGATCCACTTCCCTTCTATTTCATCAGTTTTAATGGTCAAGGACAAATTTAACACCTAACTTGGGCAGGGTGAGGAGATTTTTCAAACCATATCCTAATGAGGCTGATTCGGTCAAGGAGACTGGAGAAAAAGGCAAAAAAACCTGTAATGTTAACCTGAAAATTCCCATGAAAAATCTTGTCCCACTTCGTACCTATCTATCCATTCATCTAATTCTAAGATCCTAAAAGCTTTCCCAAAAACTCTTCCGACTGAAATGAAGCCTACTATTAATACCCAGCAAAAGAAAAAAGAAATGAGGCAAGAAAAGCAAAAGAAGAGGGGAGGAGAGAAAGCAATAGTGTTTTAATTATTTATTTAATAGGTTTTTTTTTGCCACACAAAATGTACAAAGAAAGAAAGAAAAAAATACACTAAAGAACAAAAGTGGTGAAACCACAGGGCTTATAATGTAAGGCTTCCTCAATTTATTACAACTCATGATGACTACACATGCAAAGCTATGACAATTAGCAGAAAGAAAGAATAAGTCAAGACTGCTGTGTCACTTTTAAACCTAAACTTTTAATTTTGCTTTCCGCACATGCGCACACAAACTTCTGAAGGTAATGTCTTGTATCTGGATCAGAAGGATGCAAAGTGTTTGACCCTAAACGGCTTTGTGGTAAGATAAGATTTAGCTGTTTAATTATAGCCAGAGTGAGCAGCCATCAGGCATGGCTAACTTTATATAAAACGTGTTTTTTGGCAAAATTCCCAGGAGCAAATGAAAAAATAGAATTTGGATTGGTTGTATGTTATATTTACTTGAATTTTTCTTATTTTCAGGTTTCCATCTTCTGGCAATATTTCAGTGACGTTATAATTAAGAGAAAATGTTTGGCAAAGCATCTTAGCTCTCAGATTTAGAAAGCTACTGCTGCAAATGGAGGAACTAATGCAAATTATTGCTGGAACCACTAAGAAGAGCCAACATATTGGATTATGTCAATAGACATCAGTTTCCTTGAAACAAAAACATACATCACTCCAATTAACTGGCCATGGTTAAGGAGCTTGGTTCAGATATTAATGATAGAGTCATTCGGTTGCAATTTAATATTGTGAGCAAGCAGAAACTAGTGACCGCGTTGAAAGAAAAACAACATGCTAGTTGACTGACAAGTGTCGAAGTTTGCCACAGAGGACTTAAGTCTCCCACAGTATAAAAAGTCAGCAAGTGTCTCATGCACCTTGTAGACTTGCAGTGTTTTTGTCTAATTGAGATACATCTAAGAGGTGACAAGATGTGAAAGTTCCATTTTAAAAATCTGGCAAGAGGTTAGAACTTTAAAAGTCACAAGTAGTGTACATGCATACATGCATGCATTGCTTAGATTAAAAAGTTACTTGTGAAAAGCTGCTACATCTGGAGAAGAATTAGTTTATTACTAGAAGTGGTTCTAAAGTGCTTGATGGTGTTGCATCGAGTGGAAAAAAAGCAGTTGTGAATCAAACAGAGCTGTGCCCTGGCATTGTTCTATGACTTTCACTTTGACTCTTATCAGGCTGACACCTCTCTAAGGAGCTGACCATTTGACTTTTGAGGTGGTGAGGGGGGGTATGGGTGATTTCAGGAAAAAATATCCCTCAGACTGGCTTTCAGGGAAAACAAATTCTTGCAAGGAAATACCTGAAGAAAAAAATTCCTACACAAAAATATCTTTCAAGGCGTGTAAAGCTGGAAAAAAATGTTACACCTCTGTATTCCAGGAAAAAAATTCTATCACCAGAGGCCAAATCATCCGTACCCCTCTCAAAAGTCAAATTGTCGGCCCCTAAGGTGTTAGGTATGTTCAGTTATGATCAGTTATAAGTGGAAACTCCCTTTTGGCTCAATTTCTGCGAAGCCTCATATTTTCTAAAAACATTGCTCGGCTTTTAGCTTAATGACCAGGTATTTTTAGTGGAGTGTCAGAGACTGATGTGAGTGCTAAGTAGCAAGTAAACACCCGACCTGGAAGTATTTCTAGTGCCAGCAAAAGTCCAGTACAATGAGAACATTGCCTCAAAGTATGTCACCCAGAGCCAGGCCGAAAATGCAGCATCGCTTTAAACAAGTTTAATTTCTATTTTTATTCCATTTTGTAACAAATTTTGGGTCATATGCACTTAACAACATATCTTATGTCTAGTTTGTGTAAGTAAAGAAAGATAATATAAAATTTATATTTTAACTCATATTAAATAATCATAAGCAATAAATGAAATTTGTAGACTGCAAGCAGTCTCTCTTTTTCTCCAGGGTTAGTGAGGGAAGCGCACGTGTGCGCAATTCTCCGTGAAACTGAAGGGTGTGGTCATGCAATTGCGCATCTCACACGTTTCGCTCAACAGACTAAGAAAAAGAGAGGGACTGCTGGTTATTTATACGAGGTTATGTAAATTATGTAAAAAAAATGAACGTCAAGCTTAGTAAAGAACAAAGACTTTATCAGCATGCAAATATATTTGTTTTAATGGATTGTCTCACCAAACAAAGAGCAGATAAAAATTATTGATTGACTGAGTCAGCACAGCAAGGCTTACCATCTCTTAAGGTAATTCCCTAGAAAATGATGTACCGTCCAGATTTTTTTCAAACTTGGCACAAATGTCAGACATACTAGGACATTCAAAAACTGCAAATTATAAAAAGATGGGGTCACTGTGCTTGTTTTCGCCCTGTGTGCCCTTAATTCTAGGTGGTTTTTCCTAGTTGTGCAAGCTGTTCCAAACTTAGACAACCGTCAAAAATTCTTTTTTTGTAGCAAAAAGTGGGAATCTTACCAAAACCCTGAGCCCATTTGTTTGCCACCCCCTAAGGGGTTACTGGTCTCGTAACAACAAAGGTACGGCTTCAAATGATCATTTTGCTCGAGGGTACTGGGGCGAGTTTCTAGACAAACACCTTTTTAGCCGCGTAGAATTATCAAAACCGCCAGGAATACAAATGGGGACATAAATATCTCTTTTTAGACGACCAATGGAAATAACAGCCCCCATTGAAGTTGCAATATTATGCGCACTAAGTGATGCGCAGTGCAAAACTAGGGAATTAAATAAACGTTAACCCTTGTACATCATGTACATGGCTAAATGAAGCAGTGTGGCCCATGCGGAGCCAGTATAGTACTTATGAAACTAAACCTGGAAGGGAGCACAATTTATAAACACGTTTAGTAATGCTCAAATGGTACAGTTGGTAGTCCTTTTGGAATGAGATTAGGTGTAGATTATTTTCAGTTGTGTTCTGAAACAGGGCTTGGTTCGGTCCTTCGCAGCTGTTCGAGCCGGATTCACGCAAAAAATTTTAGCAAAGATTCGCCTGTAGCCTAGGAGTATAAGCTGCCGCTACATTATGTAGCTTATAGAGCATGTATCAGATATAGTTCAATTCCTCGAATTCTGCGAGGCGTTGTAATTGTTGACTCGATCAGTCTACCCTGCAATCTAAGGCAAGAGACATCTCTTAAAACAGGTCTAGTTTCAGTGTACTGAATTATGAGTAGTGTTAGTATTTTTACTGAAGAGACTTTTGTAGAGAAAACTACATCCTGTGTTTATTTTCACGTCCTCCAAATTAAACGTGGGATAAAAAAATTTCCTGTCGTGGTCGTGCACGGCAAAGAAATGTACCAAAAAGCGCGCTACATATGCAAAAATTTGTCGTTTAACTTTTAAAACCTTTTGCGTTTGACGTGGTTGTTCTCGTTGCCGTGTCGCCGTCGTCCGCCACCCGATGTGTGTAAACTGTTGGGAATCCGAAAGCGTTTTTTTGTATGAGACGCTATGAACGCTTACGAAATGATCCGAATACCTTCAATAAAATAAGCCCGGAATCCTGAATCCGAAATATTTATGAATCCTCTAGTGTAACTGTAGCGCCTACGCGAACAATCCAGTGGTATCCCAGACTTTTAAATGCAAATGTGTGGTTCTTTTACCGTTATTTGCCACATTACTTTTAACCGACGAAGATCCCTACGATGATGTNAACCCGATCAACCACAACTAATTCCGTTCCCTTCTTTTAGACCGTTATCTGTGTGTAAAAAAAAAAATTAAATATTTTTTTTTTAAATTAATTTTACTTAACTTTAATTTTTAAATTATTTAATTTTTTTTTTTTTTTTTTTTTTATTTTTTTTTTTTTTTTTTTTCATTATTCACTTTTGTATTCCATTATTTTATTATTTTTTTACCGTCGACTTTTTCAGGTACGCACAGGTTGCTACGCCCCTGACAAGTGGACAGAAGAATGTAGAGAAGCTGCTGATGGAAATCCTGTTACTTTGGAATGGGAATAAGCATTTAATTACAAATCTGACTTACATTCCTGGTAGATTGTCCTTGAAAACTGTTGAATGAGATCCTTGAAAAGTCATTTAAAAGTCTTTAAAAAATGGTTGCAGTTTTTTTTCTGAACCCTCAATTCAATCGATATAATCCGCCGTGTTATAACAATTTTACGATAGCTTGCATGGTTATTACAATTCTCGACAGGTGTTACAATTCACGAAATTATTACAATTCACGACAGAACAAACTTTTATGGGCCTGATTGAGCTTTCGACGGTTGTGCCATGGCTAAGCCAACCAGATTTCATGTGAGCAATTATTTACTAGGCTTAAATCATTAGAACATATTTTCTGAGGTAACGTTTATGGGCGTGATTGAACTTTTAACGGTCTTACCAACGGAAAACAAAGGACATATGGTTCGCCCCCTGGGTTCGCTTGGCTTGCCACCAGCTTTCATGTTAGCAATTATTTAAAAGCGCGATGAGCAAAAGCTTTACACCATAAGGTGTATCATTATTAGTAGTCAGCATCCACACGGCACCTACTTGAGCTTGGGGGCAGGATGCGGTCCTTACCCAGATTAATATTTGCGGGGATATTGATTCAGTTATTGATTCCTAAATCAGCTTCTACTGGATGGATGCAAACCACTGTGCAGTTCCTGACAAAGCTAAATGATGTAGCTCGGTTAGAAACGCAGTGCAGCTCGTCCTCAAAGGAAGAAAAATTCGATTGCTTCATGGAGAAACTCACAGAAGACCTTCCCATCTTTGAAGAATTTTTAACCCAGACCAACCTAAAAGAAACAGAGCAAACTGATTTCTCGGGCCTGAAGCAGCTCTATACTGCATTTGCTGACTTTACGGGAAACCGGAAGGGATGGTCTAAGTTTGGACATGAAAAATCTGAATCTCAACTGGCAAGCAGCCATGTCAAAAAACTTCTAGATTGTTCACGTCTTCGAAATTTATACGAACAAACCTTTAGACCTCTTGTGGCAAGGCTGCAAAGAGATATCGACGTCCGCGAAGAATATCCAAATAATGATCGTTCGTACAATATGTTTTTTGATATTAAAGGAGCGTGCGATCAAATTGAAGTGCAGCCTCGAAACGTACCAACACTGTCAGTCAAAGATGTTTGTCCAACCCGATATAAGTGCACACCGTCTATCTTTAATTCAAGTGATAATGCTTGCGGCCAAAACAAATCGAAATGTGACATCAACAAAGCCATTCCACATATGATTGGCGTATTCTTCTATAAAGTGAGCTTTGCAGTCTTGAATAGATTTTGTAGGGAAAAATGTACTGATGGTGGCTGCAAATTGACGAGAGAAGACTTCTCCAGCATTGCCAAGCAGGTGGAGTTGATGAAAGCGTTCAGAAGTTTGCCCCCAGAAGACCCGTTCGGGCCCAATAAATTTTTTCAAACAGCTATTTCAAAGAAGGCCTACTACGAAATAGCGGCTGCCATGGAGATCATAGGCAAAAACGAGCAGCATTTCAAAAAAATTGACCTGAATATTGCCAGCTTCGCTTGTAAAGAACATATATCTCAGCCCGCTTGTCACGTGGCAAGAGTATATCCACATTATCTGCTGTTGAAGAAGATGAAGGAAAAAAGGCTTGATCCGGGACATACTGGGGATACAAGGGATCTAACTCTTTATCAGAATGTTGACCATGCTAAAATAATTGAACTAAAGAAAGAAACTATTAAACATAACGAGCTGCTGTCCGCCGTTAACCAGCTTAATAAAAACCTGGAAACACAAGTCCGAGGAATTGCTTCTTATTTTAAAGGAGTTGCTAGCTTCGATCAAGATATAGCAGACGCGGATGTGATATTCATAAAAGGCAAACTTAAAGATTTTGATGGGGAGTATGAAAGAGTTAAGAGAAAGGTGAACAGTGATATGAGGGACATCAAGAATCTCACCCTGGGCCTTGTGATTACTGAGCTGGTGGAGAATACAGTAGCTCTCGTAGCAAAAATGGCAGAAGAGTCAAACCCCATAGCCGCGATATTCACTGGTGTAGACTCCAAGGGTATACGTGACGCAGCAAAAGATGTTGCCAAAGCAGCAGCAAACGTGAGGACAGCGGAAGCACTTGCTTCAGCCATGGAAGGACTTGTGAATGATACCGAAGAGATTGGAACTTGCTTGCATAACAATCAAAATCAAATAAAGTCTATGAAATCCCTCGTGGATAAAATAAAGAAAAACCAGGCAGATGACATTGGTGACGACGCAGAGACATTTATTACAGAATACTCTAATTATACACCAAAAGTGGCTGGACATCGCATGGCCCAGAACATTGCTAAGTGGGGGGCTTTCAAAGATTCCTTTTGTGATCTGATAAATGGGGCTGAAGGGGTTGTGGCGTCTGGTGCAAAAGCTGCAATAGCTAATGGTATCTTATATTGTGAAAATTTGGAAGCATCAATCGCCGAGTTTGGTGCTCTCAGAGAAAACATTTTTGACTTTCAATTTGAAATGGTGGACAGTCTTGCTAGGGTTATGAGAGGCAACGTAGCCAAAAAGTTAGCTGACTCCATTCAAGGGCAAGAAGACGACATTTTTAAGGCTGATCAGCTGTTGGGCGGATTTCTGATGTCACAACAATTTATGCAGTCCCATGCTTGGCTATATTGCGACAAACTTGAGTATAAAAATGAGGGACAAAGGGTTCAGGCATGCTCACCAAGAACTGGTCTTTTCACAAACCATGACCTGGACAATCTTGTGGCTTTCAAAACTGAGCATCAAACCCAAATGTCGGTCGTGCGCACAGTTCACATCCCAACAAAACCTCAGTACGAAGGAGATTTGGGTTTTATCAACATCCAACGGTTTGCAAGTGAAAAGAAGGCGTCCTTTAGACTACCACGAAACGTAACCTGGTTGTACACATTCGACTGGAGCTTGATTGGTGAATCACAAGCCCCATACGTCGAGAACTTTCAACTGTTTTTACCAAACAGAGAGTACAACACTGGCTCAGGGAAGAAAAAGAGGTCAACTCGCATAGTAGTTACCGCCGATACGCAGGCAGGCAGCTACGTTTCTGCAAATGTGAATTCATCTGTGTTGTACAAGTTACCAGAGATGCAAACGTCATACGTAACAGTCTACCAAGAAGGCTATCGAAGTTCAACATGCCCACAGGAAATTCCCAACCCATACAGCCTCTGCAACAACCTCCCTAACATATGTCTCACCTCCAGCAACGAAGCAGGCGATAGTCTTCTACCCACAACGCTGTCTAAATGGAAGGTGACGTACAATGTTCAGTCTGGACAAGAGGTAGTAAAATGGTTGGCACCAACCAACGTTACGACCAACCTTAACCTTATCGCAAAAATTAAACTTCGAATGCCGAAGGTGTCGGCAAATCCACTAGCAGAAATCACAAGAGCGAATGACCAACCAGATTTATGTTGCGAAGGCGACACCTACCGCGCGTCGTTGGTTGACAGTGTGTGCACGGATTGTCCAACTGGATCCACTTCAAAGCTTGGAGGATACTATTGTGAAGCCAGCTATTCCACAGAAAGCAAGAAAAAAAGAAAGAAAGATCAAGGAAAAATGGAAAGAAAAAAGAAGAATGACAGAAAGACCAAAAAGCGAAAGAACAAAGAACGCGTAGCCTCTCGTTGACCCTGAGTACGTGGCGAAGGCACATGCACTTAAGATGATATCCACGGCAGAAAATACTACGAAATAGTGTAGTTCGTTTATTTCAATCGTTTTATTCTTATATAACCGTAAGGAAAAGTCATATTCAGCCTTATTCATTATATGTACTCACTTTAACTCTAGTATATAATATCTTAATCGGCATTGTCGGTTATTTTGCCCAGCTACATGTATGCAGGAGAATTGGTTGTACTTGCAGTATAAGGAGAGCTGCTTTACAAAGGATGCTTAATTGTACATTACTGTACGTTGTGAGTAAGTTAAATACCAGTACAAATTGCATTGAAGGCTTCAAAGTTACTCTTAAATTACGAGCTTAATAAACGGCTGTTGGTTTGATTTCTGTCTGTATCCTTGCTGTTTCGACGAGTTTCTGTAGTTCAGAAGATACAGAACCGGCCAGAGGTACTTCGCTGGAAACTGGAAATCAGAACCAGTTTCGTTTTTTTCCCTTTTTTTTGGTGGATTGGGCCAATGTTAAAAATCCATTTTCTCCCTCAAGATAAGCAAAAAAGTATATGCACTGTACAAAGGGCGAAATGTAACATCAAGCAAGCATTGCTCTCTTTAGAAATGTGGGTGGACCGCTGGTTTAATTAAAAGTTTTGACCAAATCGGGAGGGAAGAAGGGTAGAAATTACATGAATGACCTTAAGACACCGAGATCGGAACATAATGCCCAGATAAGGCTATAGAGAAGGTGTTAAACTCTTAAGCCTCATTTACACAACATTCAGTTTGGGTACGGCACTCCTAAAAATGGGCAAGCGGGCCGTCACTTTTAGTGCGGCCCGCCTGATTTTTTGCCCAGTAAATGCAAATTTTTTGGCACACGGTTCGAAAAAATCAGACGGACCTAAAAAGTGGCCCGCGTGCCCGCGTAAAAAGAGATTTTGCGGGGCATTCGGTCACTGCTGGTAACCGCGTAAGTTGAATTAAGCATACGCTAACCACCGGATCCCAAACAAAAAGGGAAGAAGGACTGCGTCACCTGATCGCAGGTTAAGCATAATCAAATATCCATGCATCTTCGCGGTTTTACTTCGGGCGGCACGCGGGAAGAAAGATGGCATGCCAACCGAACCGTGTAGTTTGGAGCGAACATAATCTTCCGATGCAATTAAGCTAGGATGGATCGATGAATTTCTGCATCTTGTAACAAGTTCTTTTTATTCCTTTGTCAGTCTAGTTGTCACTGATCTAACCGAAACATGGCATTTCGAAAAATTTTGTGTCTAGTTCTTCTTACCTGGATTTTGTTTAGTCGCATATAATTTAAAATCCCTTGCTGTTTTTGTTTTTGCTGCTATGACAGGTGCAGCTTCAATCCAGACGGGTTTTGCTTCACGGTTAAAGATATCGGAGTTTTGCTTCATGGTTAAAGATATCGTGGCTTAAGGTCTTGTATAAACTTTGTTCCTTTTATCTTACGATAATTATGTGTTTTGCCAGATGCTAAATTTCAAAATGAACTCACTTAATAAACAAGTATGTCAGTGACATATGGTCAGCAATAGCTGAGGAGTGATAATTTTTCGGGGACTTGAAGTGTTCAGTCTTCAGGGGCACCCAACGAGAATAAAGTTCAAAGCCACTTAAACATAGCATTGTTGAACGTATTTTAGTATTTAAACGGTAGATATAGGCATATTTTTATTCCCTCAAAAATTTTTCATCTGTTCGGATTTCCTGACTGAAAGTCTAGTGATCCGAAAATTATAGGGATCCAAACTAACCTTTTCGAAAATTTCAGCGAGAAAAAAGGCTCCCGAAAATTCTAGGTGACCTTTATAGGGTAAACATCCGTTAAAAATGGGCAATATACCATTTTTTAGATGTTTGAAAATCCTAGGAGAGGCAGGCAAGCAAATCGTCTTCCGCACAGATATTTTCGAAAATTGACGTTAGGTGTTTCGAGTCTTCCTATCATGGAACCGTCGCTTAATTTAACCAATGTAAAATCATGTTTAACAAGACTCTGCTAGTGAGTTCCTACAGTTAAACAGTTGTCTCTACAGGATCAAGTTTACCGTGGTGTACCTCTCGCACGAGCGTGCAGGCTTTTGAGAAAAAACGATTTAGCTGGTCAGTGGTTACCCGCCCAATTCTAAGGCCGCAATGACATCATGGTCAATAGAAAATCGTAAAGCCTGTACGTACATTGCGGATTTTTTAATCGACTAAGACGTTTCAGCTGAATTTTATGTTACCAACAATTGCCGTAGCAATATAATGCCATTATTTTCTAGCTCTTCACCCTTTGATCAAGATGTTGGTACGTTCAAGTCTACTTCCTTCTCTTCGCTGTTCGATAAACAAAGTGAATGACTTTCGTCCCTTTTTCTTGTTCACAGAGAAAGCGACAAGTGAACTCAACACAACGGAAGACTGGCAACTTATTATGGAAATATGTGATCGTATTCCTCGGACACCATCTGGGTTTGTAGACTAAGTATTGGAAATTTAAATAAGTTGTCGTTCCTCGAATCATGTCGTAAATCGCCTTTATATTTACGCTGAAATTTATCCTCAATATATTCCTCATCAGCTTCTTTATATTGTTGCGAATTGTTAAAGTTGGACTTGAGCTAAGAAATTGTTAACTTCTGAATCTTTAACTTGATATTTCCGTGACACTTCGCCGTAAATTATCCTAAGAGTTGAATTTTGGCACAACTTTGTGCATTGAACTAAAAAGATGACGTAGCTTTAAAGGATTTACCTTCATGCAATGCAGCTTTCAGTTATTTGGACATGTCAGCTGTAATTGATAATCAATCTATTGTTATTGATTTTCTTTTTGTCGACAGAAAGTGATAAATTGGTGTAAGCTTAATATCTTGATCCTTCTGTGTAACAATAATAATTTGTTTTAAGCTTGTTTGTGCATTTTTCTGTAATTTGTGCGTAACTTGCTGACTATACTAACAGTATGACTGTCATGAGTTGACAGTTTCTCATTATCCAAAATAATATTTATTTCTTGTATTTAAGAGTAATGATTAAATATTAGTGCTCTCTCAAAAGTTGACACTGGATTTCACTTTTGATGAATTGTGAGCCCTGAATTCCTAAGCATTCTTTGCTACATAAATGTAGCAAGCCCTCCAAGTTCTAGAAAAAGCATACTCTCCTACTCTTCTCAGATTTTCAGAGTCAAACCAACCACAATGCTTGATCCTTGTGATTGTGATTAACTTATTCTTAATCTATGTTTGGTTGCATCTGATACATACGTGGTTCCAGAATTCTATATTACTATGTCGCAGGTATGGTCAAAATGAAATTCAGATTAAATTGGATTCAACCCAGGTTGATTCTGCCTTTCCTTTGTTTCCTAGCCCTTATTATAAAAATTATGCACATGTCATCTGCTTGCCCCGGAGGTAGACCCCCAGGCCAATCAGGGGAATATATCGGGGAATACAGGGGGATGGATTGGATTCTCTACCCCTGGGTAGGTGAAAAATTGACGCCATTGTTTTAGTTCGAAGGGAAGAGGGTGGGGGAATTGCAAATTTTGTAAAATCGGGAATGGTGACCATGAGGATATCACAAGGATTTATTGCAAAATGGGTTTTATAAAAGGGGAAGCAACTAACTCAGTGAGAGAAATTTTTCAGCAAAGCAAACAAGACCTTGAACCAGGTAGCCTCCCCGCAGACGTCCTTTGGGGTTCGTTTGTCACGCATTCATTTCTCCCCCACAGACGTCTGCTAAACACAGCCGACTTTTACGTTCTGGATTGTTTGAATAAGCCAATAAGCGGTTAGTTATTGTGTCACGATCAGCCAATCACGTGCTGTGATATAAGTGATGTCTTTTGTACTCTCAAGTGAATTATTCATTCGCACCGCTATCTTCTACCTGAGACGACTCAAACGTTTTGAAAAAATCACAGAAACGATGCAATAAAGCTGCAGTCAGCTGTATATTTTTTTCGGAAGTTGTGACTATAAAATAATCTGCTTTTCTTTGAAAGACTTCAGACAACAGTCTCCCACACGAGCGCGGAGTGGTTTTCAGCGCGGTCGAAAACAATAATTACTATTAACTCTGTATATATTCGAAGTATTAAGAAAAGAGAACTTGTAAACGTGTATACGGAAGATATTCAAAGCATTCTTCGAAAACAAAAGCCGTTTCCTTTTTTGCGAAATGTAATTCCACCAAGGTCATGGGTCGCGGACCAAGGACCAGTATGCAAAATTTGGTTATATTTTTTCAAGAGTCCGAGTAGAACAAAAAATTCGAAGTCTACAGCAATGTGCTTCCAACGGCAGAAAAAGGTTTATCTGAAAACTTGTTCTGCAAAAAGGCACGTCCTCCTGTTGCGTTTTATTTATTCACAAGCTTAGTAAACATGACCACGGTGCTGCCGAAGTCCAAACTTCAAGCTAGAACGACAAATTAACCTACCTGTCAACAAACTTTAATCTCGCTCCTTCAAAGAAAGAAAGAATGCTTATATCAATAAATCATTGAACCTTTTATTGTTCATTGTATTTTATTTCTTGACGAAATATTTAATCACGCTCGGGAAAGTCGCCAACCAAGGACCACATACTAACTGTACAAGTCACTCGCTAACATTTCCTCCACCGATCGATCTTCAACCAAGCTTCTGGGCTTCCGTACAGCTGTCCATAAACAACAGAGAAAGTCCCTCTCTCGACAACCCTCATATTCTCTTTGCTAATATCACTGAGCGTTACAGCAGGAATACCAATATTTTCCAGCTTTGTAGATTGATGTTTCAAGATTTACCAGGGAAGAAACAACAACAACAATAATGTCCAGTACTTCCACGCACTGTGTCGCAAACAAGCAGCAAAGCTTGATAGATAAAGGATTTGCCAAATCCCGTCGGCAAATTTATGAACTCATCGGGCCTGGCGCACGCTACTGGTGTATACGGCTAAGAATCTCACATCGTTTGGCTCTTATGAACTTATTAAAACTCAGATCGCATCAATATTTGGCAAGAAGTTAAACTTTATAAACAGCTTTTCATTGAATTTTTTTTTTCTGGCTGTAAGACCAAAATAAAATTGAAATATGAAAAGTATGGCTCAAAATGGGACCATTTTTTAACAGCTCGCGTAACATTTACAGTCTAACCACGCATATTGTGGGATTTCTCTGTTTCTGTTAATGGTACTTTGGAAAAATTTCTCCGAAGAGGTCAGTGACTTATGAGTACTAACTGTATTAAAAATTACTGAACATAAAGGCAAAACAACAAAGTTTAGGGCGTTTTCAGAAAGATGTTCTGTCTACATACGATCTCTGTGCAGCGCGAACGTCAATTTAAAAGATTGGTTTTCATTGACTTTCTGTTGTTGTTAAGAGAAGAAATAATAATTTTTGGAATGCTCATAAGTTAAACCTTCCTTATAGACTAACTGTTAAGACTTCTGGAAACCCATTTTTACGCTAAGATCAAATATGTAAGGTTAGACAGCATTTTTTTAACGTGAAAATTCGTAAACCGTGCGTTGGACCGAAAATCGGATTCTAGAGTGTGCTTTGGCATAAAGATTTTGTGCCTAAAATGTGCCTAAGATGTGCATAAAGTGTGCATTTTAGTTTTGAAAAACGTGCCTAAGCCGTGCCTAAGTTGTGCCCAAACTGTGCCTAATCTGTGCACAAGTTGTGCCAAAATATTGAGTCACTCGGAAAATCGTGTCCAGCCTATCGAGCTCCACAGCGAACGAAGGGCGCACGGCAATTATGTCAGTTTTGAGGTTTACAAAGTCTAGAAACACGGTCTGACGACCTTTTTATCCCCTAATAAGAAATAACATGACTCAGAATACGGTTAGAGACAGCAGGGGAAGCCCCGACAAACAGGAAAATGGAATCTTAAACAGGTTAGCGTATTTAAAGTAAGTGCTCAGCTCAATTACATTGTTGATATGCTAATTTCATCGATGTTAAAAAATTTCCAAGTAGGTTTCTTCTCCCCTTCTTAATGGAGCGTTTAGGTGGAACGAAACATTTGTTTTTTTCGGGAGGGCAGATTTGCATTCAAAAAAAGAATTTACTTGTGATATGACTTATAAAATGAAAACGAAAAAATTGATTGCACGCCGATGAGTTTTGAAGCAAAATAAATGGCACGTCTCATCGATTGTTATACGATCAAAGCTTAATTTGCTAACAGAGCCAGAGAACAAAAACAAACAAGCAGCTTGAATTATTTTACTACTAAGTGTAAATCCTACTTTTTTTAGTTAGAGAAATATTTTTAAAAAGCAGCCGCATTTTGTATTAAAAACACAACACGCGTTGGCATGAAGGTTTCAAATTACCACTTTGTACTTTTCATGTTGTTATGCAAATTCAGGCCAATTTTACCGCGATCGCAAAAAGTATTATTTTTCTACGACTTTTATTGGCTCTTTTTGTGCCTTACTTCTTTAGCTTTGTTTTTGTTATTATGGCTTCGACTTTCTTTCACGATTTCTTTGAGAAACGAAAGAAAGCGAGTCTATAAAATTGCATGGCAATTGAAAAGGTTCAGACCGCATACATCGCGTGTGAATTTCCTCTTTATCCTTGGAGTAAACACGGACTGTCGAAGAATACTTTAATTTTTCAGACTTTCGGCGCGGCTCAAAACTTACACTTCCTATACTTCTAACTGTATCGTGTTTGATCTGAATTATTTTTGTAATTCGTACCAAGTTTGTTCTTTTTTGCAAGTCGGGTTACAAAGATTTTCAAAAAAGTGCCCAGCGTTGAATATTTGTGCCTAAACCGTGCCTAGACCGTGCCCAAACTGTGCCCAAACTGTGCCTAAAATGTGCCTTAGCAATATTTAAAACGTGCCTTAACTGTGCCTAAAGTGTGCCTAATCTGTGCCTTTGCATGTTTTTTTCCCGTGCTTTGGCACAAAAACCGTGCCTTCTCTTGAGCGCGAATTGTGCATAAGGCACGGTGTTACGCTCGTGTACACCAGTAGCGTGCGCCAAGCCATCGGTCTTCGCTATAAAATTTGCAGGATAGCTTCCCTCTGATACTTGTTTAACTCTGTATTAATTACAAATTTCTCACACACTGGATCAAAAGCCTCACTGATCGTGCGAATCTTAAGAAGCGGCTCAGGTTAAGTTTTACAAAAATCGGTAAACAGCCTGTGATTGGTGAACGTCAGTGTTTAGCAGACGTCCGTGGGGGAGAAATGAATGCGTGATAAACGAACCCCAAAGGACGTCTGCGGGGAGGCTATGAACCAGGCTACCCTTTAACGCTTGTTCAAGAATTAATACTTACTTAAGTTAAGTTCACTGACAGCATTGATGCTCTTTGCAACAAAACAAAACAAACAAAATAGATTTTGTGGTTTGTTACTACCTACAATGCCTACAATCAGGGCACACTGAATCTCTAAAAGATTCTCATGAAACACTGGGACATCATTCAACAGCACTGATTGTCTCCTACAGGAAGGGAAAATCTCTCAAGGACATTCTAGTCCGTGCAAAAATTCCTCAAATCCCGTGACAATCACAAAATCAACGAAGCTGTTAAAAGCAAACTAGAACTTGCAACTTGCATACGATCACCTTAACTGACTTCTAAAAATGGCAATCACACATCCATTCATTTATTAAAAAACAACCGGCTCAATATATTTTCAGATCTCTTAAACCTATCACTGATCATTCTTATTATGAACGCAGAAGCTGAGGACTTGTAGACTTTATTAAAAAATTCATACGTAAATGAAATGCAATGAATAACTGTAGTTTTTTCGGCATCATGAGGTAGATTATTTCAGGTCATCTTAAGTAGTCCGTGGAGAAACTATCAGTCTCTCCTATAACCTTGGTCTTCAGGGGTTCTTTCATTGTAGTGATTTTTTTTTCAATAAAGATATAATATTGCCTTTCCAAGCCTAACGCAATTGAGTAAAATTTCATCCCCAAATATCATAAAAATGCCCCCCTGCGTCAAGTGAATCCCAGTTATATGAGGTGGATATCAGGGGGATTTTTCGTGGAGAGGCACTTGACCCAGGGGACTTTGTCTTATTAAATTCCCCCACCCCAGGAGAAATCCTCAACTTTGCTCCGTCCATTTTACAATCCCCCTGGTTGGCCCACGGGTCTAACCCCAGGGCAAGCCAAAGACATGTGCATTAGGACTAATAGACAAAGGAAATTAAGAATGAACCAAGGTTAAAACACTATTAACCCAAACTTCATTTTGATCTTCAATATATTTGTACCCTCCTGTGGATGGTCAGTGGGCATTCTAAGGGGTTAGAAAGGTCCAGAGATTGAAATATCCAGGGGAACGTGGATTGAACATATCTGACTTTTTTCTAGAATGGCTAGCATCAGATTCAGGGGGAGCAAGCGGTGGCGCAGTTGTGAGAGCACTCACCCGCCACCAAGAGTTCATGTCTAATGTGAAAAGTTGAACGTCTGGGATTTTAACTGGGCTACACAGTATGCAAAGAAAGTTGTGTCCGATAGCCTGGGGCTAGAGGATTTTGCTATCGGGCTAGTGATTTTTGTTCTTAACTTGCCCAACGGGCAAGTGAAGTTTTTAGGGGAAATTCAAATTACAGAAGGATTGTAATCAATCCTGCTAATCAGAGAGGGTTTTGGGACTAGTTCAAATGACTTGTGGGTGGGCTAGTACATGCTAGCTACAGCTTGCCCGAATGAGAGGCCATAAAACTGACTTTCTTTGCACCCTGCTACATGTCAGGGTCGGTCAGGGTTTTTGGGTATACGGTATACAGGGGTTTTTTAAATCGGGCATACAGTATATTGCAGCTTAAATACGGGTATTCAGTATATCGCTATCTTTGAATTTCAGGTATAAAGTATACCTGGGTATAATTTTGGGTATATTTGGATGAATTTTGGGTATTTTTGAGTATTTTGGCGAATTTTTTTCGGGTATACTGGTATACCACTACCCCCCTGGCCGACCCTGACATGTAGTTCTTACTCTTTCCTGGAGCAGGCTTATTTTGGTTCTAGCGTCATAAAAATTAAAGGGAGGGTAACCATGATACAGTAGGTTAGTGCATCTTTAACCCTCACACTCATTTTGTATCTTTTTGTGTGTTTAGGCCCAAGGATGCACTGCGGTCAATAATGAAAAGGGTTAACCATAGAGTTCCTCATGTTGCCATTCAGGCGCTTACTGTAAGTCAGACACTAAAATGAAATTTAAACGGAAACCATCAGGAAATTGAGTAATATCAATTTTCAGTGGGCAAAACTCTTGTACCAGATGAAACTGTGTCACATTCTCTTTTACACTTGTCAAGGGCTTTAATAATAACACCAAAGACAATTTCGTATTTGAGCCTAAGAAAATGAATTTCAAATTTCACAGGAATTGAAAAAACACAGGTAAAATGTCATGCATTGGTATTTCCCCAGCTCCCACAAGACATTTTCCTTGGTCTTTTCACAGATAACTAAATATAATTATCTGTAGCCCTATCTAGAAAACTGTAAAAACGAATGCAATATGCCGTAAGTTATTCTGGTACAGAGTACACATTGTATTTGTCCACTGAAAATTAAGTTTATTCAATTTTTCTTCCAGTGGATTCTGTCTCAAACCTTTGTTTCCAAAGATAGAGTGTCAAGAACTTGAAAATAAGCACCCATAATAATCAGCATTCATGTAACTTTTCGTTGTTTCATATTCTTTATCTCTTGAAATTGCTGGATAATCACTGAAGCATTCATTGTTTTGTTTTATTTAGCTCTTGTCTGCTTGTGTGAATAACTGTGATAAAGTATTTCACTTGGAAGTTTGCTCCAGAGACTTTGTCAATGAAGCAAAGAGTGTCATATCGAGAGTAAGTTAGATATGTGCATTAATATTATTATTTTTTTAATAAACTGAAGAGACGGGTCAATACCAAAAAGAGGGGTTCAGACCTATATTTTTTTAAAGCTGCCATGTCCAATCACAAAAAACTTGCAGTGTCGTATTCTGACTTGTGAGGTTAAGATAACTTTGTTCTTACTACTTACACGTGAGTTAATTAATCCTTAAGGGCCCCTTTTTTCAGCCCAAGAGGTTTGTAGGTTCCTAAAATTAAAAATTCTAGTAAGAGCACTGCCATTGTGTAAATGGAATGAAATTATTGTATGATGGTCATACCGTAATCATCAAGATCATTGTTGCTCAATGTACTAGAGGGCACATACAACGCCTGTCTTTTCTGCCTAAACCACCCTGTTTTGTACTGTAGCCATTGGCCTTCCTCTTATTTTAGAACCATTCAGGCCTCCGACTTATCGCTGAAGTTGTAATATGTAAAAGGTAAACTTTACCAAGACCTTGATGATTAAGGAATGGCCTGAAAGTCTCCCCTAAGATCCACATAATATTACCTACAATGTACTGTATAATAATTAGTTATAATTTTATAACTTTTCAGGCACATCCCAAAGTAACAGAAAAACTGAAAGGCCTTATAAAAGAATGGTCTGTGAGCTTTAAAGATGATCCCCAGTTAAGGTACGTAATTTATTTTCAATGCTTATTTACAAGGCTTGCTTGTTATTCATCACCCATATTAAACCAGATATATAGTTCATGTTATGTTTCTAAAAATCTATACATGTAAGTAACATAATATTTATTCTCTTTGTCCTGATAATGGCTTATATTTCAGTCTAATACCAGCACTTTATAAGGAACTTAAGGCAGAAGGAGTAGAATTTCCCAGTGACACATCTAAGGTTGGTAGATTTTTTCTGAGCACTCTGTTTTCATTCGGAGCATTTTTTGTTCAGAAAGGGAAAGATCTTTGTAGTGTATTATAATAATACTAAACTTTCATACTATTAGTGACTTTTGAGTTCTTATTTTGAGCTAATCAGTACCAGGGTTCTCAATAGATTTTTAAGTAGGAGGTGATCACTTATAAAGTAGGAGGCTCTTCAGCAAAGCCAGAGGTGTCAAAACAAAGCAAAGAAAAGCGACCTAAACACAAAGTAAGCGGCTATAAATCCCAAAGTAAGCGGCGATCAATCGCCGGGTGCCGCCTTCTATTGAGAACCCTGCAGTACACATGATGTTTTTATATCATGACTGGTGGTCATTTGACAATTTCTTACTACAAAATTTGACCTTGATGGACAAAATCTTACCTTCAGTCACGTACAATGTATTTTGTAAGATTTGTCTTGTGATTTGGCCTCCAAAATTCTTCACTCATGACTTAAATCAGTGTTTACATAGTAACTGGTAGTTATGTGGTTTCAGATGAAATTTTTTTCGAGATTATGTTTCTCCTGATCTCTTATCATAAAGGTTTGAGTTCTGCTTGCAAACAAGCAGCAGCAAAACACAAATTGTGCTAATGTCAAAAAGTCTAACGACTATTGTTTAACAGATTCATCATGTTTACAAGGCTTGCGAACTTTTTGTGTCTGTTGTTCATAAACACTAGATAAAAAAAATAATTACTACATCGACTGATCGGTACTCATTGACCAGATTTTGGACAAATCTACATCATTAGTATGGAATATTAGGAGCTGAATTGTAGATGACTCTCTCGTGAAATGTCCCCAGTAGCAAGGAGTTAGGAGAGATGGCTGTATTTGCCAATGGCTATTATTTTGACAGTGAAGATTTGCAGTACTTAAATATTGAAACTATGTCCTGGAACTACATCGTCTGAATAAAATCTGAATTATGCAACTCGGTTGGACTTCTTGGTTGGACTAAATGATGGAGCAGCCCTGCTTTAATACCAAGGTTTTCCTTTTTTGTTAAGGACTCAAGCTCAAGTTTGTCCAGTTCACCTCCTCGATCATCATCAGCAAAGTCAACGTCCAGTGCACGACAAGAAGATGAAGATTTGGCCAAAGGTACTTACACATTGTACTTGTACTTGGATAAAAGATGTTGTTTTTGGTTATTGACTATTGACACTAATATCTTTCCCTTTTTAATGATTCAAAGGTTGCAGTTATCATCAAAGCTATATGATAAAAATTACCGGTAGAGAAATGAGATATGTTGCTCAATAATTTTCAGCTGCAGATTTTGGCATTTGTAACATCCGCTTTGAAATCACTGGCCATCCATGCAATCTGATTGTCTCTCAGCAGTGTGATTTATTCCCAAATTGCACCATTTTTTGCTCTAAGTTGCATCTTTCTCCCTGCCAATGAAGAAGGAACACTAAAACAGCACAACCAAACAGATTTCAAATCTTGTTTAAAGTAACAAATCAAATTTCAGGTTAAGTGGATGTAATAAAGTGGTAATTGAACTTTGTGTTGTGCAATGTTCGTCTGAAATCATACTTGTTGGTGTAGATGTCATGTTACAAGTCAAAATTGAATTCAGGTTAATTTTTTTTAACCTACATGTAGGTTGATTCTCCTCTTCTGTCTCCTAGCTCTAATAATATTATTCTTGAACAAGGGCTAGAACACAAAGAAAATTGAGAATCAACCCAGGCTAAAAATTTTTAATCTGAATATAATGTAACATAGATATTAATCATAAAATTAATATACATTGTAATTACACCAACAGCACTACCCTCTGTGTCCTCTCCACTACCACTGCGCTGTATTGGAGTGAATGTGAAATTTACACTCCTTTCCCTGTCATTTTGCTCTTCACCTAAAACAGAGATTTGTGCCCTTATGTTAGCATTGCTGGCTCCGCAAAAAGCCAAGTCAGTGTTGGATAGTGTACTTACAACTTGTATTACTGTATAAATAATTTAAGTTAAAAAATTAAGCATCTGTCTACAGGGAAAGAGTGATTGTAAATAATTTTGAGAATTATATGTTGAGTTAAGTTTTTGGATTTTTTGTAGCAATCGAGTTATCTCTCCAAGAGGCTGAAGCTAGCAAGGTAAGACACAAGTTTGAACTTTTATTTTATACTGTGATAATCATGAAACTTTAAAAAGTTATTTTGATATCTACACTGTACAATGTACTTTAGAGTGAGTATTTAGATCCAGGTGAAATTACAGTGCAACTAAAGAGAGCTAAATCACCTCCTGAAAAAATGAATGGAATTAAAACGAAATAAAACTTTACGTTTTAAATTTATGACATTTGAATTTATGTCAAAGCTTTCAATGCACCCTTGATTACTAAGAAAATAAGTTATACAGTTTATTAAATGAATATGCCAGTGATTAAAATCTTTCTTTGTTGTGCAAGAAAAATATTCCTGCGCCTTGAGAACATCACCTTGATGTGCACAAAAACCATAAATGCTTTGCACAGTAGAAGTGTTTTTAATAATATCTTTTTTGTCTGGTTTATTTATCAGCCAAAGGTTTCCAGTCTTTATCCCAGTTTCAGTACTCCTTTACCTGCACCTACAAGAAAGGTAGGTATCCTGTACTCTTACGGTACTCCCAACCTGTCTTGCTTGAATTGGTTGAGTTGCAATTTACTGGCAAATGTCTAAGCATCAGATTTCAGGATAACCCCAGTCAGGTTTCTAACAAATAAGAACTGTCAAATTGTTTCTTCAGTGATTGCATGCAGGCTTTGAGAAGCATTCCTCAAAACCAATATTATGAAACTTTTATTTTTACGTACAAATTCTCCATTGTTAGGAGAATATTGATATTGATTACTATGAGGGATTAAAGGGTAAAGAAAACTTCACATTAAGCATACACCATGAATTACTTGTGCATCAGGTTGAGTTAGCACCAAACGTTTCTTTTTGTATATTCTGTTAACAAAAGTGCATTATCTAAGTAGACACTTCATTAATTTTGACGCACACTGTAAACATGAATGACATTTTTTAGGTTGAGGTGAAGAAAGTCAGAGCCCTGTATGACTTTGAGGCAGTGGAAGACAATGAACTCACCTTTAAGTCTGGAGAGATCATTTCTGTTCTTGATGACAGGTTGGTAGGTCATAAAACTTGCTAAGCTCCAATGGTACTGATACAGCACAGTGTAAGCATGGTGAACTGACCTGGCATTTACTCTATTCTGCACAAGAAAATGAAAGCTTTTTATGGAAACCATGTTGGCAGCAAATTCAGTTTTTATTGTTGTTGGTTTCAAGTGTAATCAACTTTAATTTGCATGTTGAAAGTACAGCACCATAGTGCATTGTTTGAAGCAATATCATCTACTAATCTTGGGTAACCTGTACATCCGAGTGTCATTGGGTGTCCTGTATACTGTGAAGTCATCTGCTGTCATTTCTATTGTCATAAATGTTTAATGTTAGAAATATGGTACATCTATAAGAGTTCATGTTTGACCAGAAGGTTTTTTAGCCTGTGAGCAAGCTCCGTGGGGGGGTTCTGGGGGTATCCACACCCACCCCATGTCCATCCCTGGCCCCAAGTGCCCCCAAGAGAGCTTGCTCAAAGGCTATAAGGTCTGCAACAGGCCACATTGCTCATTGTATTCTTTCTCTACAGTGTTGCAAACTGTGAGCCAGCTCCCTGGGGAGCTCTGGGGGTATCCCAGGCCATTCCCTGTCCATCCCTGGCCCCAAGGGCCCCCAAGAGAGTTTGCTCAAAGCCTACAAGCTTTGCAACAGGCCACATTGCTCATTGTATTCTTTCTCTACAGTGATGCGAACTGGTGGAAAGGAGAAAACAGTCAAGGCATCGGTCTCTTTCCTTCAAATTTTGTGACATCTGATTTGTCTGAGCCTGAAAGCCGTATGTATCCTATACGGTTGCAATCTACATTGTAGCGTTTTGTATTTTTTTTTCCTTTGCACTTTGGTGTTCTTATAGAAACCTGTATGTTACATTGCCCAGGAGGGAAAGTTTGCATGGAAAATTCGTGATGCACTAGTTGGATGCAAACAATGATGCAATAAAGGAAAGGCACATGACAAAATTTGACATATTGTTGTCTTTTACTCCGCTTGTCAAACTTCCTTCAGCTTCGCTTAAACTAGACTGCAAAAGAGTCCGTATTTTTGCGTATTCAAGTACGTGCGGGCAGTCAAACAAACCGTTTTCTTTACTGATTTTGAGAAAAAAACCGACTGTTTTGTAGTCTACGCTTAAACAAATTACTTGCGGATCTCACTCAGGTGTGTGATAAGAAAGATCATATTTATGTCTTTAACGTTGCATTGCTCCATATTTCAGCACCCAAGGTTGAAAAGAAGAAGGTTCGGTGGGCAGATGAGCCGAGGCAACAATCAGCCACTGAAGGTACTTTGGTGATGCTAACGAATTCACCTTTTCCTTTCTTCTCTACCTACAAGAGAACTGCCCCCAGAGCAATTGACCCTTAATGAGTCTATGCCCGCAATAACCACCCAAACAATATTGTAGTGAGTGCTCCCTGATGAAATTCGTTTGATATCTTTTTCACAACTCTTCAGAAGCATTTTGTATATGGGTAAAGGCGCTAAGTGATGACTTCTGCACAGATTGACCTAGAACAGTAACGTCCTCCTGACGTAGCATCTTTAAACATATCTTTGCACACCCTGGACACCCAGAAACTCCCAATGACGTTTTGCGTAGTAGGGCAGAAAAGGAAATATTAAAAAAAATACGTGCCCATCAACCAATCTCATTACGTCGAGGAGTGATTCAAAGACTTAGCAGCAGAAGTGGGGCTGTGTGTCTGCGCCAGATTGATTGAGTTTTATTTGTCGCCTGCACTAGCGACATAGATCTTTAGCCGCATATATTTTAGTTAATCACTTTGTAAGTCATTGATCCTCGGAGACCCAGGGGTAGCTAGTCGGGACAATAGAATGTTCGTGGTGAAAGTCACGAACATTCTATCTTCCTGACTAGCTACACTTGGGGCTCCCAGGATGGAAGTTATTACGATTGCCTGTGTTTATATTTTTTCCTGTGTATTTGTTTTAGGCTCTGCAACACCTGTGAAAACAGAAATTAGCGAGGTACGTCGAGTTTTGTTAGGAGCAAAGATCACATGCGTAAGAAGTGTTGCTCGGTCGTTTCGACGTTTGGATACAGGTTTATTCAGTTGACGTGTAAATAGTTCCACGTACTTGCCTTAAAGAACGAAGAGTATTCCCCCAGATGTTTTTCTTGTTATTGCGAACTGTACTTGAAGTGAGCGAATTTTTTCTTCAATTTCTATTTCACTATTTAAGTTCGTGTCGAAACGACTTGTATCCATGCTTAGAATCATAAGTTTATTTCGTATCCTGTAGATGGGATGTCCACTTGTCTATATTTCAGGGTATAAAAGAATTTAAGGAAGCAATAATTTAGATGTCGTAGTTATTAACATTTTCTGTATTTCAAACTCTTTTTTGCAAGTTTATTCTTTAAGAATGCCAGCCTCATACCAACGGAGATTTTGTTTATATCTAGGAAAAAATAAACTTGTGTACAAACATGCTGAAAGGCGCCAACATCGAAGGCGAGGATGATGAGGAAGAAAGAATTCAAGATATGGAGGGTTTGTTGTGGTGTTTTCTTTTCTTTTTTTATTGTATGTTGTTATCTCTTGCTGCTCAATCTAGGGCCCTGTGCTTGAGAGTCCCGGTAATTTTTCGGTCCGAAATCAAATAGACTGTATTCAAATTCAAATCTAAATCTAAAGAATGAGAGTATGGCTCCTAGCTAACAAACTGGTCCAGTTTGTTTTGTTAACTGATAGTTTTATCATTGTTATCTGCAAAACTAGTGCAATCTCTGCCTTGAATGAAATAACAACAGCTTTTTGGGCCCCTTAGTTAACGTGACTTTCGAGAAAGGGATCCCTGGTCCGGAATTTCTTCGTACTTTCTTAACTGCAGATAAAATTATTCAATGTGACCATTCCTATGAAAGCCACTATGCTGTACTTTCCTGTGGTACTGTTTATGCTCTACAAGGTGGCTCTGTGGAAGAAATTTTTATCTGCAAGCATTTATGTGAAAGCTACTGTGTACTACTCACCTACTGTGATCTTTAGTTTATTTTAAAGTTGTGAAAATTAGAAATTATGAAACTAATGGTAATTATTATTTTATAGATGAATGTTACAGAATGGAGCCACTCATTAAGGACAAGATTGAGGAAAGCGAGAGGTACAGCAGCTGTAGTCAAATGCATTTTTAATGTTTTTAAAATGCACAGTAGTGTTTTGTCAGTTTCGTCACTGACTACTTTTGTAGGTTGAATGCATGAACGTTCTCGCAACTCTCGAGAGTAATCACTTCGTCAATTGTTGAGAATAGTTTATCCTAATTGAAATTCTAAAGATTACAGTTTGAGCTCAGGAATATTTGGTCACTAAACAGCAGCCCTTGACCCCCCTTGTGAAGACTTAATTTGTGCTCTCACAAGCACAGGATTCGCAGCAACCGTGGATTGCTAAGCGTCCATCTGTGTGATTCAGTTTTTAACAAAGATGAGGACCGCGGACGTTTGACATGAATGTCTTAGATTTCCTCCTGTGAAATGATATTTATATCTTCCATTCCGTAGAAAACACCAGGAATTAACATCAATGAACGAGCAGTACCTGCAAGCACTCAGTTTATATCAAAGGTTGGTTAAATTTCCTACTCTACATTAAGAGGAACTCAATCAAATTTAACTGCATTCAGGGTGTCGCCTATATACGTACCATGCAGCATATTTGAATCCGTCATGCAAGTAGTGAAAGTTTGTCACAGAACAGATTTGTATGACCCGCGAATCATAGCGATTACTGGGCTAAAAATGACTTCAGTGTTTGGCTGTGTCGTTGTTTGCTAAGAAGAGTTGTTACCTCTAGAAACGTATCGCCGGTTTGACTACAGTTCTAACGTAGTCCTTTGTCCAAAAACAAGAGATGCAAATAATGCAATGAACCAATCAGAAAATATACAGGCAAATACATGTATCGGACGCCAGGTGTGTGGTGTGCAATTGAGCCATGATTGGCCAGTAGATTCTACTTCTGATTAGTTGTGACAGTGGTGTGAGACTTC